GCTGGGGGAGGGCTGCGCCTGTCCCTGGGAGGCCCTCGGGGCAGGGAATCATAGAGTCGTTTAGGTTGGAAAAGACATTTAAGATCATCAAGTCCGACCATTAACCTAACCCTGCCATCCCACCACTAAACCCTGTCCCTAAGCACCTCGTCTGCCCGTCTTTTAAATACTTCCTGAGATGGGGACTCGACCACCTCCCTGGGCAGCCCGTACCAATGCTTGACAACCCTTTGTGTGAAGAAATTTTTCCTGATGTCCAATCTAAACCTCTCCTGGGACAACTTTGAGGCTATTTCCTCTTGTCCTATTGCCCGTTACCTGGGAGAAGAAGAGGGGAAGAGCATTGCACTGCTTCCAGCAGGAGGCTGGGGCCCTGGGGCTCCTGGTGTTTTCAGAGCTACCTGCCCTGAAAAAAGGTATGAGCTGCGAAATGCCCTGTGGGACATTGCCTGCTGTCCCCACAGCCTCTCCGTGGTTCTGGCTTGTGGCTTTTGTTTCAGGAGTTTTTGGAAAGCAGTCCCTCAGAATAACCGGGTAACCATCACAGAAACACAACACTGCTGTGCATCTCAGTCAGAGCATTGACCAAGGCAGTACAGCCAAGGTTGCTCTCGGGTGGTGGTGTGGCAGTAACGCTCCCGCAGTGTTGTTTATGCATGGGATTCTCTTCACCTTTAGCTCCATTTAATCTCATTTGGCAAAACAACACAGTGTTCCTCTCCTTTGTGTGTCTCCATCTCCAGTTACTTGAACTTCTTCCAAAGACTGCTAAAGGCCGTGGGAGGGCCGGGGAAGCATCCTGGCAGCGCTTGCGCTCTGGCTGCCTGGAGGTGCTGCTGCAGGTACTCCACGAAAAGGCACAGGACCTCCAGCCATGCTCCTCAGCCTCTGCCAGGGGCCAGGCCTCAGGTGCAAAGGACCACAGCTGGAGGAGCATGGCAGGGAGCATCTCCAGTGGCTCTGTGGCTCGGCAGCTCCCAGTGTCACCACCAATGGGGCAAGGCTGGCCCTCAAAGCTGGGGAGCATAACCAGCTCTAGAAAACATCCCCCTCTTTCCCACAGGGAGCAGCAAAGCTGGCTGGCAGACGAAAGCAAATGCGGTTACATCTGAAAGCTGTTGATTTCAACAGGGTGGCTGAAGATTCACGAAAGCCTTCATGGAGGAGCGCTACAGGCTGCACAGGGGTAGCAGGAACTAAAGCTTGGTTTTAGGGTTCTGCTACTGTAGGGGAATGGAAACCAGAATTTCACTTGCCCCAAACCAGTTCATACTTGTCTTATGGCAACTCAGACTTCTCCTCATAAACATGCCAGAGCAGGTGCGATGATTCAGCTTGTTGTGGTTTTATGTCCTAAAGTGCTGGTCCCTTGCCACTACTCCTGCTTTTGAGAATTTGAAACTGCTCGTGCCATTATCTCAATTATTTTTTTAATTATTTATATAGGCAGTGTGGGAAAAACCATGAGAGCGATTACACTTGAAATGAGAACTCTGCTCAGATGAGTTTTTGAATCACTCACACTGTGCCTAAACTACACCAATTGGGCAAATGGAGGGAAACTCCCAAATGGCACAAAGTTTTTGCCTCCACCTCCAGCACCACGTGCCAGCCCTGGGATCTCCAGCTGAGGAGTTGTGGAGGAGTGCGGCAGCGCTCCAGTGCTCCCAACTGCCTCCTTTCCCCCTCTAGAGCAGTTTTCTTCCCCTGCAGTATTTCGTAAGACCTAGGGTCTGGCAAAACAGCAACTAGAGTGAAAGAAGGCTGTATGTGAAAATTTATACATTTGTTCTCAAAGGCAATAATGCATTGAGTGCTTTTATCCCAAGAACATGTTTTTGTAAGTCAGAGATCCCTGAGTATCTCTGGAGACCAGCAGGTTCTTTACCAATCCTGCTCTGCTTCCCAGAACTATTTTCGTTTCTTCCTTGCTTACTGTTACTTTGGCACTGGCTTCTGTGAGCCTTACACAGGAGATCAGAAATTACTTTCCAGATCACCACTGGAGAGTGAAGCTATTAAAAGGGAAGCAAGTCCAGTCTAAGTTCAGTAGGGGCCCTGATTTCCCATATTCATTCTACGCCTATATTCACCTGCTTTTCCCCTCTCCAAATCCATTTTCTAAGAAGGTATAGTACTGTTGTGGTTTAACTCTATGCCAGCCGAAAACAGGACAAATAACCAAGTCTTACAGCAGCGGAGAAAAAGACTTGGGTTTTTCCACCCTTTCTCACAGTAAAAGGCTAAGGAAAACACAACAACGAAGAATTACACCTAAAACGGCTGCCCAGAACCGAAACACTTTTTCTCCCAGCAGGGCAGGAGCTTAGCACAGCAATAAAGTCTCAAGAACATAGCCTGGTTCAGCTTTTAAACACTGCAGAAGGCTACAAGGACACCTAAACTGCAGATAAACTTGCAAAGTAGGGAATAGCTGATTTTAAGTAAGCAAGAATGACTTAAAGTACAAAGAAATACCGATTCAAGTCCATTCTATCATATTCAACTACCTGATAGAGCGAAGGCATAATGTGTCCAACTGTAAGTAAATCCTGCTACCTCAGGTGCAGGTAAACTGCTTGGGATAATTAAGAAAAAATGTTTGAGAGCAATGGCCCTTGTAATACTCAGAAGATCAAAGCAGCAAGTAGATGAGACAGAAATGAGAGCAAATTATTTTGAAGCTATCCTAATATACCTCCCTTTCTGAAATCTTCTCTTTCCTGCTTAATATCCAAAATCCTCTCTTAGAAATGAACGTGGCAGCTCCTGTGATAGTTCTGCAGATGCTGCATGTGCCGCATGGCTGCGCATGGATTTTGGAGCCATCCACAATGTGGGGAAAATACTGCATCCCTCACGCAGTCTCCGGTTACCAAGGCAAAGGCAGGTATAAATAGAAACAATCTGATTTTTTTTTTTAAACTCTATCTAGAAACCTGTGCTGTTGATAACCCTCTGACAGCAACGCCTTATTCCAAATGGTTCTGTTCTACATTTGTGTAGAAACTTCTGGCCGTACAGGTTTAGTCCTTTCCTTTCTAAATAAATAGCAGCTACTTCTGGTCGCCATTCCACTGAAATACAAAAAACTGTCTTTGAAGTGAAGTTTGGACAAATACGTATTTTGCTAAGAGCTTTCATCAAACAAACGAACACGAGCTAACACAAAGCTTGGAGGAAAACCCAGAAAAGAGAAGAAAGCCATCTTTCTCCCTGAGTATCACTGTAAGTGGCCACTCAAATGACTAGCAGTGAAATAATTTAACAATTTTTACATTTTCATCTTCACCAGTAGCTTCCAGATTCTCCACACCAGTGAGATAGATGGGGTGGTGCATCACTTGCTGTTAAATACAGAGGGACTAAGCCAGAGATTAATTAGGCTGATGACAGCTTGCAGTTGCAGAATCAAGACGGCCTCAGCTTAAACTGCTCTGGATCATCTTTGAAACCAATGGGGTGAATTAAAAATAAAAACTTACGTGTCCACAGAAACTGATAGGTTATCAGTAGCCCTTATAACTTGCTGCTTCAGCAAGATCCTTGCAAAAAATGTTAAATATTGAAATAAATGTGTGGTCTGATCTAGCGTGTCATTTCCTTTACACACATAGTTACATTAAACAATTAAGTAATGATCAAAAATATGAAGATGTATAATTTCATAAGTGCTTGAGCTGAAAAGGAAGCTGAAACCCCAGGAAGTTTCCGGAGCCTGTGAAGAGGGAATAGTTCCCGTCAGTAACATTACAGTCACGCCTTCAGCCTCGCATCTTGATAAACTGTCATACATAACCATCACATTTATTAAAACGTCCTGTTACAGAAAGATCACTTAGCTTTTAGTGGAATTATGTGACTGATCTCTCAAAGGCCTCACAGGTCTGAAAGCTGACAGTACTCTGAAGTTTTAAGTACGGAACAAAAAGCAAAATGAGTAAGCTCTTCTTCACAAGCAACTACTGCAGTTCCAGCCGCGCTTCACTTGCTGGAAACCTCCTCCACTTACCACGGCGCTTTCAGATGTTCACGGACCTACAGCCTTACCCGCGCCTCCAGCTGCTGGACTTCCAGGCCACAAGATGTCCCGTGTCGGGTCTCATGACGGGCGAGTCCCTAACCCA